TGGGTGGTGCCATCCCTGGACCGGTGGCTCTGGGCACCATAAGAAAGCAGGCTGAGCAAGCCACAGGGAGCAAGCCAGAAAGCAGCATCCCTCCATGGCTTCTGCATCAGCTCCTGCCTCCAGCTTCCTGCCTTGTTTGAGTTCCTGTCCTGGATTCCTTTGTTGATCAACGGAGATGTGGAAGTGTAAGCCAAGTGTAACCCACCCCTTGAAGTAGCTTTGGTCATAGTGTTTCATCATAGCACTAATAATCCCAACAACATCAATTTGCTATAACAAAATCCCACAGGCTGGGTGGTTTGCAAACAACATGCACTTATTACATTTCTGGAGGCTGAGAAGGCAAGAACAAAATGCTGGCAGGTTTGTTGTCTGGCTCACAGGCAGTTATTTTCACACAGTGGAGAAGACAAGAGAGCTCTTTGGGTTCTCCTTTATGAGGACACTAATTCCAGTAGTGGGGCCCCACACTCATGACCTAATCACCTCTGGAAAGCTCTGTCTTTCCATAGTACTGGGAATAAGGCTTCAGCATATGAACTTGGGAGAGAGGAACACAAACAATAAGACCACAGCATGGCTTGTTTGTATTTACAAAGCACCTAACTAAGCAAACCTCTCCAGAACACAGGGTCTAACTATGTTAGATGCCTTAAGCCTAGCAAACACAACAGGACAATGAAAAGTACAAAGACATTGTGATGCTAAGCAGAATATATGGTATGTACAAAAGATTTGTTTCATTTGTGTTTGTGTGTATTCATGTGTCTCTCTGAGTATATGGAAGCATGTATGCATGGGTGCTCATGGGTGCCAGGAGACAGCACTGGATCTCCGGCAGCTGGAGCGACAGGCAGTTGTGAGCCACCTAACATGAGTGCTGGAAACTGAACTCTGGTCCTTTGCAAGAGCAGTCAGCACTCTGAACCATCTCTCTAGCCCCCAGGATGGGATGCTTTCTGAAGTACTAATGGAAATCCTCAGTATTTTATTACATTGCAGTGGGTCTCATTTCCACATCTCCTTGGCCTCTCCTTCTCGCCTGCATGTTGGTACTCTGGAGATGCCTGACTGGTTTCTCTGGGTGTCCCCTCTGTGCTCTCAGCCATTATGTCCACTGAATCCTTCCAAAACCAGCATCTTCGGCCCAGGAATCAGCAAAAGCTCCCTTACTTTGCAATGACCCTATCGGTTCCATGTCACCAGTTCCACCCTTTCCTATGTCTCCTCCTCCCAGTGGCACCTAGTTCTTCTGTGTTCCTTTTGTTTTAGTAAATACTGCATGACTGCTGAAGTAAGCAACCAGGCATTAGCTCAGATTCTTAAATGCCATCTATAGCTAAACTTTTCAACTTCACTTCCTAACTGCAACCCAGCTGTGCTTATCTCTACCTGGTCCAGGCTACCAGCATCCCAGCTTGTTGCCATGAGCAACGACAGATGCTTGTTGTTGTTCCCTGCATGCTCCCACACTCTCTGAGGGATCACAATAAAGTATTTCACATTTCCTTTCTGACTTATCACTAGTGTGTATTACGTGTATGAGTATGGGCATGCATGTGACACAGCATTTGTGTGTAGGTCAGAGGTCAACTTTCAGAAATTGCTTCTCTCCTTCCACCATGAGTTGGAGACCAGACACAGATTATCAAACGTGTATAGCCAAGCATTTCAAACCATTTAGCCATCTCAGCAGTCTCAAGTTCTCCTTTATTTTTATTTACTTATTTTGTTTATTACAATTGTGTGTGTGTGGTGTGAGTTTGGTGTGAGTGCCATAGCATATGTGAGTATAGGAGAGGACAACTTTGCTGAGTCAGTTGTAGCAAGAGTCTTTACATGTGGAGATAGCTCTCGGAGCCCCAAGAACATGTACTAGTGCTGTATGAATAGCCTGTATCCTGGGATACAACGACAGCAGAGAAGTTAATGGAAACACCCATGGATGGACGTTGATAGTCTGAAGTCCAGTGAACAGAGGTATGCTAGTGTGGATTTCTTGGTTTGGCTGGGTGTGCCTTGGTTTCACAGGCCAGTAGCATTATGGGAAACTGGCTCACAGCTATGTAAAAATTCTCTATCATCTTGGCCACTTTTCTGTAAATATAAGACAAAAGTCAAAGTTTCTTTGGAAACAACAGTCGCTCCCACACCCCTTACATTAGAAGCTGAAACCCTCAGCATGGCCAGGCTTCTCTTCCTGTCAGACTAAACTTATTATTTCATCCTTTCCTGAGATAAGCCTTTCCCTTGCCTCCAGGTTTTCAGAGTAAGAGAAGCTTGACACAAATTTGTTGGAAGCCAATAAGTGTTACATTTTTAAAAACTAAAGAACATCTATAAATTAGATTTTGATAAGGTTGTGATTGTACATGCCACCCACCCTGGTTTTCAGTGGAGTGAGGACAGCCCAGACAACCTTCGTGTGACTGATGCTGTTTCTTCCCGACTCTCCCTACTGCCATCCTTAACTTATGCACCAGACCCAAGCCCCAGTCAGGACCAGAGCTTCTGAAAATCCATTCACAGTGATGGGAGGAAACAATGCCCCCTCAAATCTTCAAAACTGCTTCTTCTTTATAGCTGCTATTATCCCACTGGAAGAGGAGCTATGTCAGGCTGCCAGATGGTCTGGTGACAGGTGTGGTGAGCAGGCTACAGACTAAAGCAAGGTTGAGGAGATCACATGCTAGGATCCCTTCCAGACAGAGTCAAGTGAATCTGCTCACAGCACATTACTGAGCCTGTCCCAGTGTCCCCGCATATTGCTGGGACTTCACTTTAAACCTGGGCAAATTCTTTTCTCCTCATGTTACTTTATTCCCTACTCCCCTGTGATGATACCCCTCCCCAACCAAGCAATCCACTCTTAAAAGTGATAATGCGAAAAATCCATAACTTGTTTCTTTAGGCCACATTTCTAGAGGCGCACACTCATCCCCGGCCTCCGTCCTCCAAATCCCACCTCCTGTCCCCACTAGTCAGATCTGGTATGGAGATAGTCAGTCTAGAATCAACCTGGGCCTTTCTGACTCCAAAATCCTTGTCTTTGGTTCAGGTCCTAGCATCATTTTCTCAAAACTCTTTACGGCTACTTAGTGGGCAGGGGGAGTCGGTGCAATGTGCCCTTAGAAGTGAAGAGTCTTTGCCTCCAGCAGGCTGCCCAGGAGGACGTGCATGGAGGAATGAGTTGCCCAGGTGATGTGGGATGCTTTGGGGTCACCCAGGGAAGCTGTGAATGCTTCGGGGTGGCTCAGGTGAGGTGGGGACTCTTTGAGGTCCTCCTTCTTTATCTTGTAGTTCGATAAGATAGAATCCACTGTCAAATGTATCTGAAAACAAGGTTTTGAAGTGTCTCATCTTCTGGCCCCAGATACAGCACCCTTAACACACTCCAAAATGATGGACAGAGAGAGCATTTAATACATGGAATGCTTTTCCTTCCATTTACACTGTCGTAAATTACAAAGTATTGCTCACTTCACAAAATAAAACCATTTCCAGATTATTTTTGACAGTATCAAGAAGTATAGAAGCCACAACAAACACATCTGTACAGTTGTAAGGAATGCTGACAGCAGGGAGCAGGCCAAACTGAGCCCTAGGTGCCAAGATTCCATCTCCAGGGGCCGAGGAGGCTTCTGGACAAACACCTCTGCAGCCTCAACACCTAACAGGGCAGTTCTCTTCTGGGCACTCCAAGCAAGACTGGTTAGTACATGGGTCATCTCAGACAATCAAGGGAAAGACACTGCAACTGGCTTTTAAAAAATCTGGATTTACAGTTTTTGCTGTTTTAAATATTTTACTTATGTTACAAATATAGAGATCTTGGTGTGAAAAACTCATGCTAAGATAAATATAACCAACCAATAGGATGGGTCTCTAATAATAAAATCAGGTTAAATTATCTTCCACACAGAACAACATTTTTGAAGAAAAAAACATTTGTTTAAAAAAATCTTATTTATTCATAACTTAATAATAGGCTTATAAAACAAAAGTAAGGAACAAGACCCAACAATGACCCCCGTAGGTTCATGATTCATCAATATGGAAATGTGGCAAAGAATTTCAATTTTCCATTGACATAAACTTGAAGGGCCCAGCTGAGGAGAGGAAAAGTGCTAACTTGTGAGGTGGCCCAGGTGCATCCAATGTCCTCAAGTCATTCTGTGTAACGAGGCACACTCTGTATGTTCTAGGACATACCCTGCAGACATGGAAGAGCCACACCCATTTCCATAACACCCTTTGGGAAGTCACAAAATGCTTCTAGAAAGGAAACTTGTGGATGCTTCGGAGCATCCTAGGATCACTATGAACAGACACTATCTCACAGCGGAAAGCCAGTGCTGAGGAGCATGAACTGTGAAAAGCAGGGGCCTGGGGTGGGGGTGGGGTGGGGGTGGGGCTCAACTGTCATTGAAGCACTAATCAGGACAGAGGTATGTCAAGGTGACACTGCATTCACGGTCAACGTTCACCAGGCATCACAGCAAGGAGGGGAGGGAGGGGACAAAGTACAGGGCAATAACCAATGCACTGCATTGAGTTCTATTTGCTAAAATAAAATAACATTCTTGCAGCTAAAATAAAGTACATTTTACAATATAGGTTTCATTTAACATTTAACATATAGAATTGTCTTCTTTTTTGAAGGTGGAAAACGTATACTTTACCAAGTACCTTTATGAATTAAGTTCCCTTTTATTATTGGTAAGACTGAAGCTTAAAGGTCTACATTTTTTTTAATAAGTTAAAGAAAGATTTTTTAATTACTCTTTCAGCAAAACAGACATACATACGAGGCACGGCAAAAGACCCGAGGTAAGGGGTTTCCTACCCTCACCCTTGCTCTCACGTGGAGGAGGGAGACACAGTCCCCAACTCTGTAGTCCACTGTGGTCCACCAAATTCTGCCACTTGTTTGAAAAAACAAACCAAGTGTAAGAAATGCTTTTATTCCATTAGCACTACTGGCTCATTTCCCTGATGGATTAGAACAAAACGTCTTCGTTTTCTATTAAAATCTGCACGATCAGCTTTTGGTACCGCATGTCATGGAGGGTGGTGAGAGTGCTGTCCTCGGGGGGTCTCATCAGGGTAGGTCCGAACACAATTCCCAGATTTTCTGCGTTCATTAAATTGTCCTTTTCATTCATGGTAACCCTGCAAGGCAAGCAGAGAAAGCTCGGGCAGATTTACAGAAGGACTAACATACTATCCACGCACCTTGGGTCTGAGACCATCAGGAGTTTGCAAAAGTAGAGACCAAGAATGGCAGGAGGATATCTTTTGACAGGTGATTTTCTGATTTGTTTTCCTTTTTAAGTTATTAATACTGCCTTCAGCCAACAGAATTAAACGATTTACTAGAGTCTACTGTGAACACAGTTTAAGGATTGGGAATCTGTCCTCCTTGAAGAAATGTGCAACTGTATGTAGGTGATACCAGTTTGACAGGGCAGAAGGTCACTAACTGGCCCGTGGTACTCTCATGGGCCTCATATGAAGTCTGGTTTTTGTCACCACTTCCTACGGTCTGCATGCTGGAGAGGGGGCTGGGTGTGGATTGGTACCACAGGCAAAAGACTATTTGTAGAACAGGCTGCTGTGTGTTTAGGAAGACCCTGGCTATTGTCACAGGGCAGGAGAATGGCTGGAATGTGGCCAGACTGGAGGGCAATTGTTTATTATGCCCAGTTCCCAAAGGAGGAGGTACAGAGCAGTCATTATTGTTGGACCAGGGTCCAGAGAAGAGCCAAAGAGGCTTTAAGGAGGAAATCCTTAAAGTCCTACAGTTGCTTCCCTGGTTTCTTTGTGGAATGAATGGTGATTTTCCAGATTCTTGCCTTCAGGAATTTAGTTTTTTAAGAGTGCTTACTATAGATAAAAAGCAGTAAGTTCTACAAAACAGGACATACTGGATCGAAAACATATTTAGGTTTTGCAGAGAAACAATCCCTCATTTTCTGTTCCCTTGGAGCAGATTCAAATTAGCCACTTTAGTGTTATTTTTGGTCACCTCAGTTTGAATCATTTTCATGCTGCAGAGATTAAAGAAAACAAAAACAAAAAACAAAATAAATAAAAAAAACAAGCAGGAGAAAGGTCATTCTTCACCCTGGGAAAAGGGACCTCAATTGATAAAAGGTCTCTATCATTTTGGCCGATGAGGCAATTTCTTGATTGATAATTGACATGGGAGGGCCAATCCACTGTGGGTGGTACCATCCCTGGGCAGGTGGTCCTGGGTTGTACAGGTAAATAGCATGAGGACGTCATACAGAACAAACTAGTAAGCAGAGTTCCTCTATGGCCTCTGTTTCAGTTCCTGCTCCCAGATTCCTGCCCGAGTTCCTGTCCTGATTTCCCTCAACAATGGACTATGACATGGAAATATAAGCCACATAAACCCTTTTCTCCCCTAGTTGCTTTTGGTCATGGCCTTTATCACAGCAAATAGAAACCTAACTAACACAGAAATGAGAACCTGAGACAGGATGGTTGTCATAATGGACCTACCTGGCCATGTTGTTTTCCTGAGGATTGTGGAGTGTTTGGAACTTTGGGCTGGAAAAGCCATTAGTGCTCAAAGCTTAAGGGGGTGTTCTGTGTGATCTCGGAAGACAAGAATGCTGGGTCAATGCAGGTGATGGAGGCCTGGCTTGTGGTGTTTCAGAAGGAAGCAAAACTGCCTCAGGGCTGTTCATGTAGCAGTTTGAACTGCAGTTCTGGTCAGCTGGGGCTGAAGAATCAGCTTGATTAAGAAGAGACCAGCACTATATAGTGAAGACTTTCACTACAAAGTGAAACCTTTGCTTTTGGGGGATAGTTGATACTGATCACCTGGAGCTGAAAAATCAGCTGTGATTAAGAAACTAGCATCACTGAGGCATAGTCTCCTGGGACTATGTACACAGAAGTGATGGTCAGGAGGGAGCCCAGGCTGCATCTCATGCTGACAGCCAGACTTGGCAATGAGAAAAGTCGTTAGCCTTCCTCTCTCGAGTGGACGGAGGTACCTTTAAATGGACAGTGCTGCCTTATTTGGGCATCTCCAGTCATGGCTTCTAGAATCCATACCATACCAAGAGCTGCTCTGTGTATTTTCAGTGGGATGCCCTAATGCCTTCCTGCCCTGGGAAGATTAGGGGTGGTCAGGTATGGAGGTGTTGGCTTACTTTTTGAGGTGGATCATCAGGTATCGCAGGGTCTCATAGTGGGCAGGAGGCAGCAGCATCAGGACCTCATGGACGGCTTCCAGCCTCTCATCCGCATTGGAGATTTCTATGAAGAACACACAATCAACAGCATTAGACACCAACAGTGCAGAGGGGTGACAAGAAGCCTGCTTTCTTTGTCTTCGTTGCAAATGGGTCAGCTAACAAATTCATAGTCTCATCTAACCTTCCACTCAGCCTCCTTGTGTCCTGTCTCATCCCAGAAAGAGCTGAGGTTGAGCACAGGTTATTTAAATGAACATCTGTGAAGGAGGTGGCTCTGTGCTCACTATCCATGGAGCAAGAGTCCTATAGAATTCTTAATCTGGTGGTATATACACAGTTTGTGTTGCCCCTTGGAGGCCTGAATTTGTTAAATCCGTCAAAGCTCTAATTTCCTCTGTATCGTGTGGTAGTGTGCCCTTGAAGTTGTATAATGCTTCTTTCCTTCTCAGGCCTCTATATCAAGTACATTTTTCAATTCGAGGACATTGGCAGCTGGGTCAACCAATAACAGCATGTTCACAAAGGCATTGCAAGGGTTAACCTCATGTGCAACCCAGGTTAGGAAGCAGATACTAGGCACATTAACAATGGGAGGAAGAGTGTGTGGACTTTGGGTCACTGATAGGTATTGGCAGGCACTCAAGAAAAGCCCTCCTGCTATCCCTCCTGGGAAATAAATACTCCACCGCTAGAACCTTCTCTACCTCGGACCACCAGAACCCAGGAAGGAATGGCCTTGCTAGGGGGCAGGACCATGATGCATCTGGAAAGCACATTGTGCATGGGTCATGTAGTGGTTTGAGTCATTGAGGTATAGTCTCATGAGAGTATTTCCCCAGGGTCAGCACACAGAAGTGGTGTTCCAGAGGGAGCCCAGGCTGCATCTCACGCTGACAGCCACACTTGGCAATGGAAAAGTTGTTAGCCTTCCTCACTCGAGTGGACAAAGGTGCCTTTAAAGGGATAGTGCTACCTTCCTTGGGCATCTCCAGTCACGGCTTCTAGAATCCACACCATTCCAAGAACTTCTCTGTGTACTTTCAGTGGGGTGCCCTAATGCCTTCCTGCCCTGGGAAGATCAAGGGTGGTCAGGCATAGAGGTAGACCCCATAATCTCATAGGAAGTGGTATTATTAGGAGGTATGGCTAAGTTGGAATGGGGTTGGCCTTAATGGAGGAAGTGTGTCACTGTGGAGGCGGGCTTTGAGGTTTCCTACGCTCAGGATACTGCCGAGTTTGCCAGTAGACTTCCTGTTGCCTGCAAGATGTAGGACTCTCAGCTACCGTCTGCCTGCATGCCACCATGCTCCTGCCATGATGATAATGGACTGAACCTCTGAAACGAAAGCAAGCCACCCCAATGAAATGTTTTTCCTTAATAAGAGTTGCTGTGACTATGGTGTCTCTTCACAGCAATAGAAACCCTAACTAGGACAGATCCCAATAGGCCCTTGCTTCCTCCTATCAGGCATATATACTTAAACATATATACTTAAACCTTTAAAGATACGTAATGTCCCACAATGCCAAAAGAAGTTCCTTAGAGAAGGCTCAGTTTCTCCCCCACGCACCTCAGCATCTGAATTACTCCTGCTTTCTTACTACCCGTTACCAGGCAAAGTGTGGCCCCTTCTCTTGCTCTACCCCTTACTCACCCTCTTTCAAGAGCAGTGGGACCAATTGGTCAACACTGGATGAGGACCTGCTGACTGATGGTCCCGTGTACACTGATCTCCAGAACCTTCTGACTCTGCCTCCCAAGTACTAGGATTATGCAGCTCTACACCTGGCTACTTTTATTAACCTTGAACATGAGCGGGCAAAGCTTGGATGTGGCTTTATATATAATATTTTTTTTCAGAAAATGCCAGAATTGATCTCCCTGTGCTTGTGTCCAGGATACAGGCAGGGAACAGTGATGAGAGGCAGAGCTGTCTGGCTCTCAGCTTCTGCCTGTAGAGCTGAACGAGTAAGGACATGGGGCATCTGGTGAGTGCTTCCGGATTTCTAGTTGCTGAACTTTGTGGACCCCACTTGATAAGGCTCATGAGAATCTTGGAAGAGTTCTGAGCTTTAATTTTCCTGAGAGTAAGAGGCCTGTAGTTCTCTGTACTTACTTGCTGCCTCTATAAATTTGGAATAGGTGTCATATGTGATGACAGGGATGGGTAAGTCTCTGAAGTACAATTTCAGGGCTCCGGTGATGATGTTTATGTCTGGGTAGATGTTAGCAGAGATATCGGCCTTTTCACCATCTGAAAAACAGGGAATGGTCCAAGTCTCAATTAGATCTTAATTCACTAATCAAAGCAGGCACAGGAAAAGGAGAATGTGTCCTGGCAAGCCCCAGTCTCAGAACTCCTAAGAATGTTAGGAGCCTAGTGCAACAGAAAGGATCTCAATGAGAGAGGCATAGCTATGAAAAATGAGGACAGACATGAATACAGCAGGGTGGATTAGAAGAACTTCTCTGAGTTCCATCCCCTGCCATCAACCAACAGAAATTTATTACAGTAATTCCTATTGGAGACACTGCTTCATGATGGAGCAACAATCTGATATGAACTGACATATGATGATACACATGTATGAAAATGTCATAATGAAACCCATGACTCTGTGGTCAGGTCATATTTTTTAATCTCTATGTTGTCTGCCAGTGTTCTTTGACTTTGAACTAGAAGATCATACATACATACATACATACATACATACATACATACATACATACATACACATAATCAATCAATCAATCTTGGATACCTTTGGTTTCCGAGGTCTTTTTTCAGTCTCGCTGAAGCTTCTTTGCCTTTGACCCTCCCTACTCACAGCACAGGTAGAATTATATTTCTTGTTAATTGTTAGGATCAGTCTCAAGGCATTTGTGTGTGTGTGTCCATATGTATGTGTAAGTTTGTGTCTGTGTGTAGTAGGTATGTGGTATGTGTGCCGTGGCACACAAATGGCAGTCAGAGAACAACTTGTATGAGCTTGTTATTTCCTCTACCATGTGGGTTTACGGGGTGGAACATTGGCAGTAATGCTTGGTGGCAAGTACTCACTCTCTGAGCCATCTTTCTGGCTCTTAAGTCATGTTTTCTATTTTAAAATTTTACTATTAGTATAAATCCATTTCACCCAACACAGGTCATGAGATATTTTTGGGTAACTATTGTTCAATCATAGCATATTTTATATGGAGAATTAAAAGCACAAATGCCTTACAAAATTGGTTCTAAGTTTTTAAAGAAGCAATCAAACAGTTAAAAGCACAAATCAAGACAGCAAATGCATAGCAGATCTGACAGGCTAATCGAACAATATGATGTTAAGGGACAAGGCTCCTGGACAGTGCATGTCCCTAAAGAACAAGGGACTTATCTCCTGAACCCATACTTTCATCCCCAGCTCCCTTCTCTGGAACCTTGAGAGAAAAGCTATCAGTGAGACCCTGAAATGAGATGCAGACAGCATTCCCTGATGGTGTGTGGACAGGGTTCCCATTCAAATCTTTCCTACCCTCTTCCTTGTCTAATCAACACTTCTCCCAGACCCCACTTCCACTCTAGGTGAGCTCTCATTTTATCACAGAGGGTGCCGGATGAGTCAGGCAGCATTACAGTTTACACTCACCTCTGTCAAAGGCCATCTTGACATCTTCAATGTGTTCTGTGAACCCAGAGACTCTGTAAATCCCTTCTGACTTCAATCCTGCAGGACAGGGGAAAGCAGGAAAGGGGGAGGACTTTAATTTTGGTGTCCCATGGCATCTAAAAAAGACACTCTAATTTTCTACCTGCACCGAATGCTGTCAGGAACTGAGCAGATTTGGTTAGCCATCTGATCTATGCATCCTGCTATGTTTCTAAGAATCGGGACATTTTCTATAAGCTCCTGTCTCCATCTGCTTTTTGGAGATGGGCTTCTCAGTGGAGACTAGGTCTTCCTCCTGCCTAGCTGCAAAGTGAGCTGAGATCTAAGACTCTCCCCAACTACTTTTGTTCATCAGACTTCTGCACACCTATTTCACCAATGCAGGCAGAGCTTGACTTTCTCCCTGGCATCTTATTCAGCCATGTAGTATATTGTACATAGCCACCCTCTAGTGTGTGCAATACATATTATCCTGAAGTTGTTGGAGAAATCTAAATGTTATAGCCTTCTATGTTTAATCATAAATAAAACAGCATGCTAACTTACTAAGTATGTCTGATTTAATTATTCTACCTTCAGATAGCTAATCATACAAATAGATGTGGTTAAGTTCTATTTAATAGTATGAAAACCTAACCACTGTAAGAAAGAGAGTATGTTTCTGCCCTCTTGAGTATACTGATGTGTTGGGCACATGCTGAAACCTAGCTTGCTCTCCTATATCCAGTGGGCGACATATAAGATCAAAATAGCAGAAAGATTAGAGGATTGGGTTCCACACGTAAAAATTGAACTGGTGTCAAAACTGAGATACTGCAAAAATGTGTAAACTGTGTGTTCTAACTCTTGTTAACTAACATATATTCCTGGTTTTTAATTTTTACTTTTATGGCATATGTATTATCTGCCATATATGAGGACCTCTACTGAATACAAGGGGTAGGTGCCTCTGCTCTTTTCCTGAGACCACGGCAGACATGCTTAATCTCGAGAGACTCTCCTCTCTCTGGCAGGCATGCTCAATCCTAGCTCTGCTGTTAGATAGCAGGCACCCTTGCTTAGCCCCACGTCTACCATTTCATCTCAGTTATTCTCATCTCCATGTTCAGTACCCACTGTTGAAACTGATGCTCTTGATTAGCTGGAAGTGACTCACAAGACAAAACCAGGGTGCCACCCTATCCCAGGTAGCAAGCTCACCCCGGCAAGCGTGGGGCATGCATTGCCAGAGAGGGATGTCACAGCTGTTTATAGGCGACACAGTGGAGGACACGCAGTCCTCCACTGCTTATAGAGAGAAGAGGACATCCAGGGAGACCCCCTCAGAGGCTGAACACTGCAGGCAATCCTGAGAGATGGGCTGGAGTTGGAGGAGCAGTGGAGGCTGCCTTCCATCCTTCAATGCTTGTTTTCTTATCTTCCTATTCTAATGGAACACTTGGTTTCAAAACAGCATCCACTGTAGTGACCTCTTTGTTTTGTTTATTGTAGACACAATGTGACCAGCTACCCCACCTTTCTTCTGCCACGCCTTCCTATGATGAACTATACTCTCAAACCGTGAGCCAAAATAAATGCTTCCTTTTTCCAGTTGCTACTGTCTGGCATTTTGTTACAGCAATGAAAGAAGTAACTAACACAGCTGACCACGCAGGAGGAGTGGAAGGGACCAGCCCAAGATGTTCTCTGCATGTTGAGCACTGAACAGGTCCCTCATATGCATAGACTGTTTTGATGCTCAGCACCAACTTTGGGGGGGTACAACTGATTTCACTCAATTTACAGAAGACGAAGTGTATTCAGAAAGGGAACAAGTCCCTTGTTTAAAGTACTCAAAGAGGACAAAGACATCATTCTCTGTGACCTGTGGAGCTTTGGGAGTAGTCATGTGTTTATTTGTCCCTCTGATTATTCAATCTACCACCCTGAGGTTGAGAACAGAGACTTTCGTATCATCAATGTCTAGCCTGTATTTAAATGCTCAGGAAACATTTGCAGAACGTAGACATGCCTTACATAGGAACGGAAATTGATGTTACGGGTTGGCTATAGTATATTTAGCTGTATGCATGTTTTTGTATTTGTGCAAGTCATTGTCATAACAGATAGTAAAGTGAGTCGGATTCCTCAATGAAAATAAAAATTAAAATCAACATAATACAGTAAACATAATTAATATAATATAATAATGTAATGGTAGAGAGATTTTCCAAACCTCTTGCTTCAATTTCCCGAATACATATGTCTACCACCATGGGTCTCTGAGTATTGTGAGCTTTTACAAGCGTGGTGAGGTCACAACAGTACACTTTCTTGATCCTCTTGAGATCAGGCTGGCAATCATTGGGGACATGCTTGGAACACTGTTTGTGCACATTTAATCCACAATCTGTGAACAAAGAAGCCACATTAGCCTTGCTAGGTCCTTTTGTCAAACTCCACAACAAATCATATGCTGCCAAAATATGTATTACAGTAGCCAAGGATTTGATGGACTTCCCTGGAATGTCTATCCCATCAAGAGCTGGAACTTCCCACAAGATGAGCATGAGCTTCATCTTAACCTTGAAGTTTTATATGACTGAACCGTCCTTCTGACTGTCTCTGTTTTCGAACAGAACACCTTGCTGAGATGGTTAGGGTGCTAGTAGGTCTTTTCTCTCTAGACTGGGGTTCCTGGGAGTCCACAGTGAGCTTTGGGGCATAGATTCTCAGAGTTAGTCTTGGCTCTTTAAGGGCATTGGAGCTCAATCTAGCCTGTGCCCTTAAGTCCCCAAAGCTCCATTGTGGGATATACTGTTACTCTGTCCGCAAGACTGTCTGGTCTTTGATTTGCAGAGCTCCTGACTTGTATTCACTCTGCATTTCCTGGAGACCAGCCTGTAGTTTCTAATCCTTCTCACTGGAAGTTGGAGGGGGCCACCTCTTCTACTTACTGTACTGTGTCTTAGTGGAAGTGACGTTTAGCCCTACTCGGGTACAGTATCGGAGAGCAGATATTGACGACAATGCCTTGTAACGTGATAATTATAGCAATTATTTATAAAGCTTGTATCCAGAGCCAAGGCTGAAAAGGTGCTTTTAAGTTCAACGCACAAATTAAAAGCCTTGTTAGCAGTTGGCATCCACCAACAAACTTTCTCCACAATTATGAGACAGTTTGCATTCTGGGAAATGAAAGTTTAATGACAAAGTTGCTCACTGTAAATGCACTCTGCAGTTACAAAGTCTTCTAATATTGTTTTTCCTAGGTATAAAAATAATATTTCTACACATATAAGGTACATGCACAATAAAGAATATTGTGGTCAGTGGCTTATAAAGACAGTGTTCACCACAGCAAAAGTCTGACATGTGGTGACTTCTGTCCAGCCACCAATGGTGAGTCCTGGGTAATATTTCCGGGCTCAGTACTCTGCTTTCCCTTTCAAATTGAAAGTTCTAACCGTCTTAGCTTAAGTAGCATGTGAAACTCAACTAACGCCAAGTACAATTCAGTTTCATTTTGATGGAGCTACTCAGCGGCTATAAATTTACATTTGGGCTGAGCTAACCAGAACCGGTTTTCTTCCTGGGATCCTGGTTTATAAAGTGGGGATTACTCCAGCACCAGGTGATCATGAAGGTCAAATAGATACACAGTGTTTCCAATCTAGTGGTGTGCCAGTGCTAAGTTAAATAAAACAAAGCAGGTACAGGGAGAGAAGACACAGAGGCCAGTCCAGCTGTTCTTTCCTTAGTGAATTTTACTGCATCTTACAAATTTCATTTATAATCAATTTTTGTTAAATTGTACCAAAACAGACATAAGATATACTTAGTATTTTAACCATTAAATCATAATAATTTTACATTTAATTTTTAAATTAAACTTTAATTTTAAATAATTTAATAATTATTCAATTTAATTTACTTATTTATTGGAGACAGGGTTTCACTGTATATCACTGGCTGGCCTGAAACTTGCTATATAGGCCAAGCTGGCCTCTATCTCACAGAGATCCAGCTGCTTCTGCATTTTAAAGTGCAGAGTTAAGTGGCATTAAATAAAAGCATTGTCGTATGGCTACTGCCACCACCTGCTATGAAAGCCTGTGCATTCCTGTAGCACTACAACTGATGCCTATCAAATAGTAACCACACACACACACACACACACAAACAAAACAAAAACAAACAAACAAACAAAAAAAAAACCCTGGACTCACTGGCAGTGACAGCCAGTGGGTCCTACCTAGATTCTAACAGCTGCATTCCTTTGCACTTTGCTTGGGCTTCTTCTCTTTTATAAGAGTGATGAACATCCATTCCATTGTGTGTCTACCACAGCTTATCTGTTCGTCCATCAGTGGGGCTGGGTTCTATTAATCTTCCAACCATGATGAATGGGCCTGCAAGTGTCTGATGCAGACACTGCCTTTAAAGTTTAGGATTACACTGTAATTCTGTGCTTAATTTTCCTACAAACTTGAAGACATTTAGTTTATATAGACCACTGATCCTATTAAAACTAGGATGTTTTGTAGCAAATAGAACGGTGCCAAAATAAAATCTGGACCATTGGGAAAAATATCTACATTATGGAGAGCTGAGTCCTTTGACTATCAATGGCCAGTTTCTAATCTTCCTGCTTTTGGGGGGGGGCGATATTAGATCAGAAAGTAACTACTGGAGACAACTTACAATATAACCTTACATTATGTTTCCTTTAAAACAAAATAGTAACAGAAACAAACAATTAAAAAAAATCTCAGAACCCTTCAGTCCTAGAGAGAGTTGCTGATTACAGCTAACTGGAGCCCAGAGTCCTGTTTCCATAATATTCATTTTGGACCAATTTCCTGCTGAAACTGGATGTCTGTGACAAGAGATATTTTTGGTAGGTATAATCTGGACAGCCCTAACTAACGAGCACAGAGTAATTCAGGTGGTAGACCACTACACTCAGGGGTTGAGTTGTGGGATGGGATGCTGTGTGAGGCCTCCCAAGCTGTGTTCTGTGTTTAGCAGCATACTAAAACACTCTGGCGAGGCTGTTTCTGAACTGGGTTTGCTGCCTGCCTCAGGACCCAGGATGGGAAGCTGGAATTAGGGCACTGACATGGGCGTGACCATGCCTATAGAATAGGGGCTAAGAGAGCCCCTTCCACATAGAAAGGAAGGTGGAGGTTAGGTGATCCCATGGATGAAATGGGTACCGAGTGTGTGGGAAGGAGGACCTCCTAGGTGGTGGGAGCCATCAGCTGATTCTATTGTCATGTCTTAGGAAGGAGGCAAGCAGCCACAGAATCTGTGGTATTCCTGTCAACACCAGACGCAGCTGTTCCTGCTCTCAGCACCAGTGTGTGCCAGGAAAAGCATGGCAGGGTGAATGAGGAAGCCCACTAACGTGCTGATTTGGCAACCCTTTGCATTTTGTTCAGTGTCCCTTAAGGAAGATATGTTCCATGATATTTGCAGTAGATGGAAAACACCCCAGGATTCGAACTACTTTGAAGTGTGTAAAATCAAGATACATTTGATCAAAATACACTGTATGAAATTCTCAAAGGATGAAGAAAAAAAACATTATTTAAATTATTTTTAAAGTTAAAAACTTTATTTAATGGTTGTAATTTCGATCTGGTGGCAAAGAAGTCAAATGGGAGTTCTGGACTCCTGCTACTTTTAAATTAATGTTTCATCACTTAGCATCTGGTAATTAGCCATCACCTCTAAGACTCCTCCTTTTTCATTTAGTAGGAGATAACCATGTCTTCCTTTGGCTTTGTTAATGAGGGTGCAGGGCGTGATGATGTTTAGCCTTGAGTTTGTGGCAAATACTCATAGCACTCACCAGTGTTGTTTTATGTCCCGTCTGCTATAATAAAATGGGATGGAAAAGATACATAATATATAGGAAAGATATATAATAAAATAGCATTTTAGACATCTATGCAGTTCCATTACAATCTACTTAAACCATTTTCTTTTAAGTGATACTGCCAATTTGGGGAGGCAGGTGCCTTTTAAGGAAGTGTACTTCTTTGGTGCTTTTCATTCTTGTGTGAATATAGGTTCTGTTTCAGTTCTTGTAAACACTTAGAATAGTCTTCCCAACAAGCAGAGGAGGTGGGGGTGCCTTGGAGCCCTTAAGAAAGCCAGATTTCTGAGCTCATCTCAGCAGTCCCCAGGTCTGAAGGTTGCTTCCCACTCAACAAGGTGGCACTTTATGTAACAAAGAGAGGACAAAGTTTTGTGTCTACCTGAACACCGGACGCCTTGGGCGATGAGCCCCCACATGAAGTTGGCACAGTACTCACACCAGTGTGGGCCTCGGAATGTGTGCACCTGTGAGCCAAACAGAAGAGCACAGAAGGTTCAGTCAGCTAATGGCATCAACCATAAAGCAAAGAAAAGCCTCAGCAGCAACACTCTGTCCCTCTTCTGGCCAGTGAGGCAGAGCTGAGTACTGGTCTGGAAGAAACAGACAGGCTTTGATCTTAGAAATTCTCTGTGGATCCAGCATACCCCGGCATGAGCAGAATGTGGGGAAAGAGTGGGACTACAGAAATATCCAGAGAGGGAATGAGACTATCACAGCCCAAACAAGGCTCGGTGAGTGCAAACCCAAGATAGCCTGAGGGGCAGCCAGATCGCTCCAGCCTGCGTTTAGCTCAGCAAGTTGTTTTGGGTAGAAGAACTCAATTACTGTGTCCTCTTAAGTTGCTCCATCCAGGTGTAGAATTTCCAGCCAGATATAAATAAGCCATGGTTATGGGATAATTAAAAGGTTTCAAAGCCTTGAGACACTTCCAGAAAAAGGCATTTAAAAAAAGTAAAGGAGTTGGTGCAAAATGCAGGCTTCAGGGCCCACGGAATGGCTTTCCCAGGGACGGGGCTATATTCAGCCAGCCCTGCAATGGCTGAGTAAGTTGGAAGGCTGGTCTTACTGTTCAGTATTTCAACCAGCTGTTAAATATTCCAAATGCTACAAAGTAAGAATGGTTTTAGCTCAGGTTATTCAAGTGCAGGGGCACATATTAATCCATGAATCAACATAACATAACATAACATAACACAGCCCAGAAGAGCACAGCACAGCACAACTTAACACAGTGTAAAGCAAAACTTCTCTAGCAGCGAGGAAGTTCAAAAAGCAAAAGTAGGGGAGTCCTTGCTATCAAACCTGGCCAAGATGAGCTGAAAACCCCACAGGCAAGCGTACTGACATCATGAACCCATGTGAAAGACATGCTTCTGGGCTTTTACAAAGTCCTTTCAAAACTTCCTAAACCTTAATTACTAAGATAAATCAGACAATAATATTTTTAACAAGATAGGGGACCAATGTAATACTTCTCTTTAAAAATGCCATTCTTAGCTAACAAATCCAAATAACAAACTCTGTCACAGTTTGGAAGGTGAGCGCTCCCCTAAGGAGAAGCAGCAGACCTGGTCTCCTGAAGAAGGAGCAGCCCATCCAATTCCTTTGCACATCTACAGAAGATGGCACTGTGTCTTCAGAGTGGCAAGCCACATCAGCCTCCCAGTGGGACTCAAGTGTGAACGACAACAGTAGAAGAAAGCACAGCAATGAATCTAAAGGAGCACCTTATGACCACGGCGCTATGCAGAAAATCTAAGTTATAATTGCCTTTCGGGTGTTTTAGCTCATTAAGTTGCCCAGTACATTGTTTCTGTTTTGAAAAATGGTGATAACAGTCTCAAAAATTGTTTTTACTTGAATGGAGAAGTGTTCCATTTGGGTGTGATCCCAACCCATGACAAAGCACTCCTTGTAGGAATGGAGAGAATCCACAAGGCATTTGCATTTTCCAAATGCCATGATTCATTTCTAGGCCCACTAAAAGAACTCTTGGGGAAAATGAGCCACGAAGAGTCGAACATGTTCTGAATTTAACAACGATTAATGTTTTGCCAGAAAAGTGCTAAAGGTGCCAGTTAATTTTGGCAGAAAAGTTGATTATTAATATACAGTTGAAACTGTACTATAAGGAAAAAGAATATGTAAGTTAAACAAAACTAGTATGAAAAGAGCTACAGAATAAGGTGGGATTGCTACTATAGGGAGAATGGGGGATGGGCACTTTCCTGGACGATCCTGGAAGGAACTCATGGCTGGTTCAGTAGAGGAGTGGGTGGGGAACATTCTGGACAAGAGGAATTATGAAGATTTTGTAGGAACAAAAGATCTTGGTGGGACTAGGAAACTCAAGGCTGATGTGGCTAGAACAGAGAGAAAGAGGAGAGGAATGAGAGATGAAGGGGAGGGTAGAAAAGGGAAAGGCCCTGGGGATGTCTCCGACTTTCTTTGTGATGCAGATCTGGAGGAGGCTCAACAAGGCATTCCAGGAGGATTTGAAGCAGAAAAGTGATTCTTTCAAAAGACTACTCTGAACCTGTGTTGAGCTTGGGTGAGAGGGTGTCAATAGTGGGACAGGTTTGGAAACTGCATACATAGTAGTGAAGGGACCAGCTTCCCTTTTGGCAGCCATAACGGCCGAACACGTGCTTCTATGACCTTGTCCTAGACACTAGAAAGTCAGATGCCTGCCTCGTGACAAGGAACCAATCAGAAGTTAGCTGGTGGCGCTATGCTTTACGACCCTGGGTGTGCTTTATGGACAAGCGCACAGCAATGGCGTAGAGAGCATAGCAACCACCCTGGGAGGGCCGATGGGCCATAACAATCAGTTGACCAATCAACACAGGGCAAGCCCTCCAAGCCTGGAGGAACACCAATAGTGAGCCTCTGCGTATCCCTAGACACTCCCCTTACGCTGTCCTATAAGATCTCTCGGGAGCCCCTCGGAGCCGTCTTTTCTAGCCATCTGCCATGGCGGGTGGGTGAAAGACCCGAGCTAACATGGGGGTAGCTCGTTAAATTACAATAAAGCCTCGCGCAGTTTGCATCAAGCTCTCAAATCCGCCGGGTGATTGGGGTGTCCCCAGTCGTGGCCTGGGACCCCGGATACTTGAGTTTTCGGGGGTCTAACAGTAGTCTCGCTGAGGAATGACGGAGGCTAAAAGCAGAGTGCTGGTCGGAGAGATGGGGAGGCCCGCTGCATATTTTGAAGATGAAATTTGTACAGCCTCACAGTAGAATGCACATGAAAGACAGAACCTGGGGAGCGTTAGGAGTGATCCCTTGTTTCCCCTGGGGAACCAGGGGGAAGGTTTGATGGGGGAGGGAGGCAGATCTTCCAGTGGGGAGAAGACTAGGACTTGGCTTTGGGCAGGCTGAAGACAATGCTGTCATGCCAAAGTGCTAGTTAAAGCAAGAAGTCGCATGAATTTGATGGCTTGGAGGAGGAGTGGGGTTATATGTGGCCATCCCTGAAAAAAAAAAAAAGATGCTGTTTTAAATTGGGCAAATGGATTAAAAAGTATCAGGGATAGGGAGGAGAAAGCAAATAGAGGAACACATGTCTGGTCCTCCGTTCTCCACTACTTAAAGGAGACCAAGAGAGTAAAGCATTTCTAAGGACAACAGGTGAAGATTGCTTTAGGGAAGGGGTGGGTGGCCATGTTGGATGCTGGTAAAAGATCCTATTAGGGAGGTACTAGATGTTGAGTTGGGTACAGGGAAGTCACTGGAAACCTTGCCAGATACAGTCTCTTTGTAGACTGAACCCAGATTTAAGGGTGCAATCTGAACTGAAGAATAAGTGGGGAATAATGAACTAGAGAAAAATGTAGAAAATCTATGAAGCAGCTTGGCTAGCCAGGCTTGGTGGTCCAGGAAAGCTAAGGAAGGAGGACTGAAAATTTAAGGCCCCACTGGCAACAGCAAGACTGACCCAAGAAGCAAAAGGCAACTCACTACATTCAATCAGTTCTATCTATATGTGCTCAGGTCATCCTGCTGGATCATGGGAAACCTACCAGTGCCCACGCCCTCAAAAAACAATGGTCTTCTCACTCCCGACAGTCATCAACTGACAATAACTCCTCAGTAAGGGGTTTATATGATATTTCATTTTTACATATGCAAATGTCAAGAATAAAGAAAATTATAATAAAAGCAAAAGTACGGCAAGAACGAAAATATGTAAAGGGAAGGAGGCCTCTGGATGCAGCTCAGTGGCAGATGTTTGCTTTGCAAGCTTGAAACCTTAGCTTTGGTCCCCAGTACTACAGGAAGAAGCTTGGCTATGCTGCCACTCAGGGAAAGAAGACAGGACAAGGGAGTTGTGGGCTCAAGAGACAGGGATTTGAAAAGGTGGGAGACACTGGGGTATGTTGAACTGTCAATAGGATTGATATAATAAGACACTGTAGATGCAGAAAAGGCAAATAGACAAAAAGGCACGATGACCCTGAGGAGCTGATAAGCGGTGGAGTATTGGAAAGGGATGGATGCAATACTGAAGGAAAAGAATATTTAATATTTTCCAGAATTAGTAAAAGGCACAGGAACATCAGATTAAGAAAAGCGAAATGACTTTCAAACAAAGTAAATAAAAACAATCTATCTCAACACAGATTGTGGTAATGCTGTTCAAACCCAGTCCCTGAAGACATAACAGAAGCAAAACCACTTGCCTGGAAAAGGATAACAATTAAGTTGAAGACAGACTTTTTTTTTTCCAGCAAAAATGAGGTTATAGATCATAGAATAGCTCCATCACATTGTGAGCCTAACTTTCATACACAATTATAGAAGGGTAAAATAATGGTATTTTCTGATGGACAATAAGCACTTTTGAAACTCATGCAAAGAAATAAAAGCTTTGCTTTATGAGTGGCAGGAATCAGCAAAAGGAGTACCAGCCAGGATGCAGTGGTGAGTGAGAAAAAGAACATCGACCACGCCCCTCAGTTCTGTCTGCAAAAAACATCAACACTAGAAGATCTAATTCCAGTGATTCAGGAGCAGGGCCAGAAATGAAAAAAGGACTGGATGTGGGTAAAAGTTGACTCATTCCACGGTCCTTACATTTTAGGACATGTAAGAAGAATTCTTTATAAGTGAGGAATGTTTTAGGTAATTAGAGACACAGTGATTTTCTTTGAGTACATAGGAAACCAATGCATAGAGTCCATAAATTAAGAAAAATAGCAACAGGGGAAAATGACACACAGATTCGATCAAGCCAATAGAAAGTAAGAAAAAGCAATAAAGCCAGTGCATATATGTAAAATATTTATAATTCTCTAATGACATACAAAGAGGAAAAACAGATTTGCAGATGGTATTTAGCAAATATTTATAAGAAACATACTCAAAATACAATGCCAGAGAAATACTGGAGCCAAAAAGATGCACCTGGAAAGTGGTAGCTAGCCCAGGGAACCCAATAAGCCAGATGCACCTATTTGCATGT